AAAGCAGCAACAGTCAACATAAGAGGTGTCAAAAAGATGGGGGAACTTTCCTGGAACTGGTTTCAGAAGGCCAAACACTGCTCCCTAGGAAAGCGTGGTGGAGAGGTCAAACCTGTTATCATTATTCCCCACCTTCTCCCTAACACATACATTTGTACATGTCAGTGAAATGAAAAATTCATATACTTCTGTCTCTCCAACCTCACACAGAGACTGCTTGAACAACACCTTAGTTTCAAACTGACAGCTTTGCTCTTGAACATGTTAAGAGTTATTTTGCTGCAGATTTGTCTAATGCAATAGGTCATTTGATTTGTTGACTATTGCTTCTATCAGTGCTGATTGTGGATCCAAGTAAAGGAAGTCTTTGAAAACTTCAATCTTTTTTTGTTATTTGCTGATCCAGTTGTGAGGATTTTTGCTTTCTTTACATTGATGTGCAATCAATGCTGAAGGCTGAAGTCTTTGATCTTCATAGTAAGTATTTTAAAACCTCTTCACTTCCAGTAAGCAAGGTTGTACTATCTACATATCACAGGTTGTTAATGAGTGTTCCTCCAATACTGATGTCACAGTCTTCTTCATATATTTTATCTTCTTGGATTATTTGCTCAGTATACTGATTGAAGTAAGTATGATGAAAGGATACAACCCTGGTGCACACTTTCCTGAATTTAAACACTCAATATCCCCTTGTTCTGTTCAAGAGACTGCCTTTTGGTCTATATGCAGATACCTCATGAGAACAATTAGGAGCTCTGGTAGTATAGTGGTTATGAATCGGGCTGTGAACCTCAAGGTCAGCAGTTCAAAACTACCAGCTGAGGCTTTCTACTCCTGTTTGGAAACCCTGCATAGGGTCACTATGAGTCAGAACCAACTCCAGGGCACATAACCACCACCATGAGAACAATTAAGTGTTTTGGGAAAACTGGAGGTGGGCTACCTAGAAGCTGGCATTCTATGTGATTAGTGCACCTACTCTGCAAGTAAGTCTCTGCCCAGTGGAATTCAACTTTACTTGCTCCAGGAACTGGGAAGCCCACTGCTCTAACTCTTGGTTCTGCTGTTGTATTCCTCTATCACTCCTCCTCTGGCACAGCCTTCTGTGCTTGGGTGGAGGAAGTTCATTGTGCTGGGATATCAGACTCCATAGGACATGCTCAACTCTTGGGGATCTTTTTTTTGGGGGAAGGGGGGAGTTGATGATAGTGAGATGTGAGATCTCCATTTTTGCTTTTGAAATGGCTCATTAAAGTTCTACACATTAAAGTTCTAAGTTTTACAGTCACAATTAACTCTATTAACCACTTACAATGGAATCATATAATCCTATCAGCATCTTCTCCCATTATCTTGCCAGTCTTTGAATTTCTGCCAAATGGAATTGATAGTAGCTGACTTCCTTGCCTTTTTTCTTTGTCTATTACTACAAAGAAGTCCTCTAACCTTTTGGTATCAGGATCCCATTACACTCCTAAAAATTATTGAAGAACTCAAATAATTTATATATATATACACACTGCTAAGTGTTGTTGGGTCAGTTTCAATTCATAGAGGTCCTTATAGGATTTCTAAGAAGCAGCTGGTGGGTTTGAACTGTTGACCTTGTGGTTAACAGCCTAGTACTTATCCTACAACACCACACCAGGACCCCATACAAAATAGCTAGTATATTGTAAATTGGAGTCCTGGTGTGGTGCTATAGGGTAAACACTTGACTGCCAACCACAAGGTGTTGGTGTTGTTAGGTGCCACTGAGTCGGTACCGACCCATAGCAACCTTATGCACAGCAGAATGAAACACTATCTGATCCTGGACCAATCTCACTACTGTTGCCATGCTTGAGTCCATCGATGCTACCCCTTGGCTAATCCATCTCGTTGGGGGTCTTCCTCTTTTTCTCTGACCCTCCACCTTACCAAACATGATCTCCTTCTGTAGTGACTGGTCCCTTCTGACAATATGTCCAAAGTATGAGAGACAAAGTTTGGCCATCTTGGCCTCCAAGGAGCACTCTGGATGCACTTCTTCCAGACCGGAACTATTGGTTCTTTTGGCAGCCCAAGGCACCTTCAATATCCTCCTCCAACACCATAACTCAAAGGCATCAATTCTTCTATGGTCTTCCTTATTCACTGTTCAGCTTTCGCATGCATACGAGGATTGAAAATACCATGGCATGGGTCAGGCGCACCTTAGTCCTCCAGCTGACATCTTCGCTCTTCAACATTTTACAAAGGTCCTGTCCGCAGATATGCCTAATATGATACATCATTTGATTTATTGACTGCTGCTTATGTGAATGTTGATAGTTGATCCAAAAAGAATGAAGTCCAAGGTAGGCAGTTGAAATCCACCAACTGCTCCTTTGAAACCCTATACAGGGTCTCTATGAGTCAGAACTGATTTAACAGCACTTAACAACAACAACATATTATAAATTAAAACTATGAAATTATTAAAACAAGAATATATGACGTAAAAGTTAAATTAGTGGTCAGAGCATTGATGCCATCACACACCATGGATGTAGCCTCTAGAAAATTCCACTGTATACGCATCATAGTAAACAATAAGTCAGTATTATGAAAATAGTTTGACCCCTGAATGGTCTAGGTCCCCAGATCATACTTGTTGTTTTAATTCTATGCTTTATTTTTCTAAATCCACACTGTGGTACATGTCAATAACTTTTACAATCTGGCTGTAAGCTCCATTTACTACCTCAACTCCCACAGTGTTTGCTAAGTACTCCACAAACTAGCTACACCAAAATGAACATTCTTCTCCTAAATACACTCACTGTGAGTGTTTGAACCTCTTTTTATTTGCTCATGTTGTATCTGCTCCCTTTCAGAGATTTCCACTCTAGCTTTCCAGGGATCTCTGAAACACCATCCACCCTGCCCCAGGCAGAATTAATCATTTCCCATGGATAACACTCTTCTTTTACCTCTACTTCATTTCAGTTTATTTCACTGCTTCCTGAGCCCTGGAGGCCCAATAGTTAAGTGTATTGATGCTAAAGGAAAGGTCAGCAGGAGGAACCCATCAACCACTCCGCAGGAGAAAAGATCTATCAATCTGACAATGGGGCAGTCCCACCCTGGCCTATAGGATTGCTATGGGTTGCAATTGAATGGAAAACACACAACAATAAGTCTGCATCTCCATCATGCATTCCACCATCATGTAAAGAGCATCTCTGTGCCTGCCAGTACCACTGGAAAGAGGCCCCAGAGCCTGCCCTTAAGGATTTCATAGCCTTCTGCTCTTCTTGGGAGAAGAAACTGTACCTTACTAATCTTTGAATTCCCCATTCCTGGCACCTAGTCATGTTTAAAACTGTTTTCTTTCTTTTGTCTAATTACTCAGAAATGTTAATCATTATATCTGGCTGATAGGATTATGAGTGATACTGTTTTTCTTTGTGATTTCATGTATTATAATGTTATCACTGTAAATGTAATATAATGTTAAACTGTTTCTTTGCAGCTTGGCAGCTGATACTTAGGAAATGCTATGCAATGAACAGTTCTATGTACTTTACATATACGAATGCTTTTAATTACTTATGCCATTAACGACAATGTGTAAAGGTGTGAATACCCAACTCAACTGTATAGTGATTCTTCCTATATCATTTACCATATGTGATTATTCTATTATTGCCTATAACTGAAATATAATTTTATTACTTTAGCTTTATCTTCATAACCCACATGAAGGATCCAGACTTTCTTTGTGTCCCATTTCCTGAATTCCGCATAGACTATTGTTCATGTTATGGCCAGGCAACATAGAGTCTTAGCTTAGCATCTAAGCACAAGCAAAGCTTTTTTGACTTTGCAGATCTCAATTAGCAAAATGTTCTCCTGCAAACATATGTATCTCTCAGTGGCCACCAGGGAACCGAATTAACTGGTTGCTTTCATAAAGTTCAGTAAAACATTTACGAGGGAATGTTTCCCACAGATGGAATGCAAAATGGATTGGTTTGTAAAGGATTTTTATCTCCTAAAATAACAAGAAAACAGGGTGTTTGAAGTAGTGACATACCACACTACTCATTACTAACAAAAGGGCTCTCCACCCCTTGCACAAAATCTCACCTCCTCATTTCTGAGAGAATGCAAAAGCTTCTGCAGAAGGGAATAGAAAGAATGGCTTGGAATTATTGTTTAATTGGCCACAAGCTGGATACTTGCTTTCTGTTAAGCTCCCGCTGTGCCACTCCTATCAAGCCTGAGGAGATGATCGTAGCCACTAACCTCTGATGGTGCCCACTCCCCCCATGATACCCACAGCTTGCTCCAAAGCATGTTCCTGTGGCCTGCCTTCTGGACCTCCCCGTCTGCTAGAAGCACTGTGGTCTATGCAGCATCCCTGCTCCCAAGAAGCCATGCCTCTTCATTGAGATGCAGGTAGTGCTCTCATAAGCAGGGGCTGCAGAGCATCATTAAAGTGGTGGGGAGACAAACAACACTTGCACTGCATACCAAGTGGCATCACATTTAACTGAATCATTTTATTATGAATACATTTCAGGCTGCCACTGTGAACCACTGGTGTAAAATATGCTGGCAAAATGGATCTCTGCTAATTATATTTCATGCATATTTCAGAACTTTCCACAGGGATACAGGAAGATAGTGTTCATAAAGAGAATTTTACAATCAGGTTCCCTTACATTTGGCATCAAGACCCAAACTAGTTGGTAACAAAGATAAGTTCAATTACACTGCATGTTGTGTTTATTTTAGCTAGAAAAATGTAGTTCCCTGTAACTCTATCAGCACTGCCTGAAAATGAAAACACTCTTCAAACCCACCTTAACATACATTATTTCAGAAAAGCACATTGCTAGTAAATAATTTTTTCCCATGTGTTTTTTCTCCCTTGTCTTCAGATTTCCTTAGATTGAATTAATGAAATGAAAGTCTGTGGTGATACAGGATGTGGGATGTGTAGGAGAATGTCAGAGAAACATCATTACCTGCTTCAAGATGGAACTGTAAAGAACACAAGTGACTGCTCTCTCGTGGCTTTTCACCCTCTTGCTGGCTTCCCTTTTCATTGCCAACAAAGCTAGCTGGTTATTAAATGAGATGAAAAGGCATCCATGAGATTCATCAAAGTGGAAGAGGCATCTGAAGTCCTGACTTCTGGGGAAAGAACAAGCTATCCTCTGTATTGAGAGCTGGTGCTGAATATCCCAGAGTCTTAGAACCTAGATGAAAGCAATAAAGCCATGTAATTACGTCAAGATTAATTCTAATTTTTAACGATAAATTTTTCTAGCTCACGCTTGATCTGAGGCAGACAGTTGTTTCCTCTACAGGCATAGAGCTGGTAACACTTCTCTGATAGCAAATAGTATTTTGTACTTGAATTATCTGGCTAAATATATCCTAAACTGGGGTCTTTATGTGACACTGTAGAATATGCACTGGACTGAAAGGTTGGTTTGAACTGCAAGGTCCACAGTTCAAATCCACCAGCTGCTTCTCGGAAACCCTATACAAGGTTGTTATGAGTCGATGGAACAACAACAACAAAACTTTCAGCAATTCTAATAAAGGGTTGTGTTTGATTTCACTAGGGAATAATGCCTAGCACTTAGTAGGTACTTGTGGTAGAAAGAAAAATGGACCCCCAAGATATCCTCGGAAACCCTATACAGGGTTGCTATGGGTCAGAATCGACTTGATGGTACTTCACAACAACAACAAGATATTCACATCCTAATCATTCATGTTGGAGTCCTGGTGTGGCGCTGTGGGTTAATGAGCCAGACTGCAAAGACGTTTGAACTGCAAGGTCAGCGGTTCAAGCTGACCAGCTCCTCCTCGGAAACTTTTACAAGGTCGCCATGGGTTGGAACTGACTCGAGGGCACTTAACAACAACAACAATCATTAATGTTGTTGTTAAGTACTGCTGAGTCAATTCTGACTCATAGTGACCCTGTACTGCTTCTGAGGAGTGACTAGTGGGTTTGAATTGCCAACCTTGCAGTTTTCAGTCAGTGTTTATCTGTATCGCCTCATCTTAACCCATGGAGTCCGTGAATTTGCTATATAGTAGAGGGATTTTGCAGATGTAATTAAATTAAGTACCTGGAGAAGAAAAGATTATTCTGGATTATTTGGATGAATCCAAAATAATTACAAGAGCCTTTAAAGTAGAAAAATAAGACAGAAGAGGATATCAAAGGGTATTATGTTACAAAGACTCTACTTTCTCTTACTGGCTTTGAATATGGACGGAAAGGCCATGAGCTAAAGAATACAGCCAGCCACTAGAAGTGGGAAAGCCAGACAACAGATTCCAAGCTCACCCCCACCTCCTCCAGAGTCTCCAGAAAAGGAATGCATCTCTATCATCACCTTGATTTTAGCCCAGTGAGACCCATGTTGGACTTCTAGCCTACAAAATTATAAAATAACAATTCTGTGTTGTTTTAAACCAACAAATGTGTAGTAATAAATCACTGTAGCAACAGAAAACTAATACAACTGTCATTCTCTCTCTCTCTGGATATATAATATCAAAAACTATATATTGTTGTTTTGTATCATTAAGTAGGTTCTGACCCATAGGTACCCTTTATAGGGGTTCCAAGGAGCAGCTGGTGAGCTTGAACTGCTGAACTTGCGGTTCAATTGACTTTGCAGTCCAGTGCATGCATTAACCCACAACACTACAACAGGACTCCTCACTTTCTCTTTCATATATATATACGTGTGTGTGTACACATGTATATATGTATATGTATATATATATATAGTTGCTAGAGTTAAGTGCCATCAAGACAGGTTCTGATTCATAGCAACCCTGTATATGGCTTCCATGGATGGAGTGGCTAGTGGCCTGAACTGCCAACCTTGCATTTCAAACTGACCTTGCAGTCTCACACTTTATACTATAGTGCCACACTAGGGCTCTCTCTATATAGTATATATATAATTTCATATCATTACTAATACAATATACACAACTATCACTTGCCACCTATGTTTGTTGGCCAACTGCTCCTGCTCCCTCTACCCTATACTACAGGAGGTATTTTTGTAAAAACATTATGCTTATTTTTTTACAGCAACATGTAAAGAAAAAAACTGTTAATAGAGGCACATAAAAAAAATACTTCCTAGGGGTATATATAATATATATCATTTAATATTATTTGTAATTTCATATATTTTTGTTAAGTGACATCAAATTGGTTCTGACGCATAGTGACCCTCTGTAGGGTTTCTGAGGAGTGGCTGGTGGTCTGACTTTGAACTGACTTTTTAGTTCAAATCAACCTTGCAGTCCAGTGCATTAACCCACCACGCCACACCAGGGTTCCAATTTCATATATATACACACAACACATGTATATGGACTCCTGGTGTGACATTGTAGCATCAGCACTGTGATCCTACAGGTCAAACCCACCAGCTGCTCTCTCACTTTACAGTGTCACTATGAGTTCAAACTTATTTGACAGCACTTAACAACAACATATGTGTGTGTGTGTGTGTATGTTGTTGTTGTTGTTGTTGTTGTTAAATGTCTTTGAATCAGTTACAACTCATAGAGAACCTGTATAGGGTTTCCAAGAAGCAACTGGCAGGTTTGAACCACCCACACCTTACAGTTCAAACAAATCTTGCATTCCAGTGTATTATCCTGCATTCCCACACCAGAACTCCAAACAAGACTATATAATACCCTAAAAAGAGTATACTAAAGAAAACACAAAAAATTCTGAACAGTCTTCCAGTTCATTCATCTATCATCTATGATTTTACAGATTGTAAGACTGTTTGAAGGCAGTCCACTAGAGAAATAAGGTCAAATTTTCCTGTAAATGTACCAGTGAATGTATAAATAGGAGATCTAGTATTCACGTCATAAAATGAAATCTCCTCTGACTCATAATCCAGAAAAATATCAGTCTTCATGAATTTTATACTCTCATATGGACCACCTGTATATGCATGTGTGTACGTATCCATGTGTAGGTGTCAGTATGTGTATGTGTATATGTATATGTGAGGGGACTTCCAAAACTTCACAGAAATTTTTTGTATCTTTTAATTCCATTTTTTATTTGCATTTTTGAAGCCTGCTCATATATACATATATGAAATAAAGAAAAACATATATGAATATTGTTGTTGTTAGATGTCATTGAGTCAGTTCTGACTAGAAGTGACCTGCATAGGGTTTCTGAGGCTATATAAATCTTTTCTGAGCCCAGAAACTTTCATCTTTCTCCTGAGGAGTGGCTGATAGGTTTGAAGTGCTGATCTTGTGGTAACCAGTCTACTGTTTATCCTACAGCACCACCAACACTCCCAATATATGAATACATACATACATACATATATATATATATATATATATATATATATATATGGAGCTCTGGTAGCGTAGTGGTTACGAATCGGGCTGCGAACCTTAAGGTCAGCGGTTCGAAACTACCAGCTGCTCCGCGGG